ATAGTGAAGGTCAGCTCATCATATGCATTCCATATCTTTTGTTATATTTGTGCCCCTTCTTTAAAGGGCATCGGCTTTCTCCAAGATCCCCAATGCTCCGCCAACAAGATGTAAGCTGCCCGTGATGAGTGCTTGCACCTTGCTGCCGTCTTTCCCTTCAGAATCCGCCAAGCCTCTCGCAGTGTTGATGGCTTCCTCGATGCTAGGTATTACTAGGATCTTGGCAGATGGATCGAGCGATGCCCATTTCTCGGCAAAGATGCGTTGCTGGGTCATCTTCTCAATATCAGCTGGGTTGTACTGGTGATTTACAAAATCTAACAGAGGTTAGCCATGTTCTTTTTCCCGAATTTCGGCAAAGGGGGAATATACCTCTCTTGTAGCCTGTCGTGGCATATGTGACGTTGGTGCAGAAGATGACATGCTGGAAGCCACGGCCTGTCGGATCGGCCTTCTTCACAGTGTTGCATAGTCCGTCTAAAAAGTCCACCGCCTCGCTCCGCCCTTGCTGGTTGAATATCAGTACCTTTGGCCCCTTGCCCTCAGCCTTGGTCTCTTCAATGAACCACCTGGCTGCCATCTTCAAGCTGTCCACGGTGTGCGCACCGTCCACGTGCCAAATGATATTGTCCTCTTCTTTGACCTCACACCGTCCCCTCCAAACGACCTGTTCTATCCCATCAACAAACTCCCTTGGCAACGCCGCTTCGTCCCGCTTGAAATCGGGATCCAACTTTTTCAGCGCTGTCTCGGCCAGAGCGATTGCGAGCGTGGCATTCTTCTTCTGGAAATTGGCATCGGGCCTAACCCTGACGCCTCGGAGCCTCTGATCGACCTCGAGGACCTTTAGATCAACTCCCTTTTCTTCTGCCCTCTTCTTGAGCACCTCCGCAGCAGAACCGACCTGCTCTATGGTGAAACCGGGGCTACCTCTCTTCAGAATTCCCGCCTTGTGCCACGCGATCTTGTCAACGGTATCGCCCAGTACATAGACATGGTCAATACCCAACGTGCTGATGCCGCTCGCCACAGGCCGCTCCACCACATTCGTGGCATCGTACTCGCCCCCTATTCCCGTCTCGTAGATGGCGACATCGACGCCTTCGGACAGGTAGACATGATAGCTCATCAGAGTCAGGTACCGCGCGTAGATCGGCTTCGTACCAGGATCGACGAGATCAGTCGCGACTGTGCTGTTATCCTCCAGCCTGTCCCAGACCTCGAAGAAGTACTTTGCAAACATGTCCTCTGAAATCGGCCGAGAATTAATCCGTATCCTTTCGCGGACCGCAATCAGATGCGGGCTGGTGAACAATCCCACTTTCTTTGGAACCCCTTTGGTCTGGTGCCATTTGGACAGGATGGAATCGACAAAAGCACAGGTGCTTCCCTTCCCCTTGGTGCCAGCAACGTGCACGATGTTGAGCTTCTCGAGATCAGACGATGTTGAGTAACCTATCCTGGCCAGATAGCCTCTCATCTCCTGGACCGAGTTCGCATCGGGGCGAATGCCTGCTTTCCGCCGGGCCTCGATGACAGCGAAGGGTGTCTGGAGGGAGTTGAGGGCGTCAATTGCGTCCTTTTATTTACTGGTTAGTGTTAAAAACATTCTCAGGTGGAGATGGCAATGTACATTATATGTTCTGGACGCCATCGCTAAAAAGTGTCGTCGCCGGTGGCTGATGAGAATTGAGATGAAGGTGTTCCTTGTGGTGGTGGACTTGAAAGATGTCGCCGGTAAACCGCCGAAGATTGATTTTCGCTTCAGCACATGATGCATTGAGATCGAGTCTGGATGTCTTTTGTTGATGTCGTTCTATCACCGAGTTCTCATCTTGTAAAGTTTGACGACGATTCACTTATATTCCTTCAAATCCAGCGCATGGTAAAAGAAGACGGATGTGGGATAGTGTGTGAGATGCTGCAAGCGGAATACTCCGGGTTGCTTCGGCCCCCCGAACATCGGCGTTGGTTACAGACGTCAGAGGCCCACTTCTGTTGCAACTGCCGTCTTGCTGTTAAAAAGAACGAACGGAACAACAAGCCACCGAACTTTACTTGCCAGGGCATTCAACTTCAACAGGTCACCTACTGTTCAAATGATTTAACATGGTGAGACATGTGAATATTTATTCCAGTCCCGACTATGTGGTATCATGTTTGGCCCTTGGAGGAAGAATCATTATCTAGAGGAGATGGGATGTAATTCTGGCAGGCCTTTTAATCGGAAGGGTGTTTGCTTTGTTGCTTTTTACCCCCAGTTGTTGACTGGATTTGTTTCAGAGGTATAATTAACTGGTTACATCTTCGGTGCTAAAGCAGTCAAATAAATAAGGCTCATAATATATATGCTAAATGAAGAAAGTTCCATGTCCCAATGCCACCCGTTTACGCCGTAACACCCATTATGCAAGTTCTTTTTCTTTCTCTCCTGATTTTCCGTTCGACTTTGCCAATGCTTTGCTTAGCAGCAGCCAGTGTTGCCCTTGGCCGCCTCGAGCTTGGCAGGATCAACAGAGGTGTCAAGCTCGGTCTCGACCTTTTCATTGGGGCCGGCAATGAGAATCTTGATGACCTCACCCTCCTTGACCTTCTTGAACGCCGACTCGGCATCCTTGAACGCAACGACGCCGTTGACCAGCTTCTTAACGTCGACCTTTCCAGCGGCCACAAGCTCAATAGCAAGCTTGTAGTCACCACTGCCGTAGCGGAACGAGCCACGGGCCGTCACCTCCTTCAGGCAGAGAGCCATGATGGGGAAGTTGATGTCGGACTTGCCCATGCCGCCCTGGACGTAGGTGCCACCCACGCGGACAACGTGGAGAGAGGCTTGGATGCTGGGCTCCGCACCGGAAGCGTCAATGACAACGTCGGCACCCTTGCCGAGCTCGGCGGCGGCGATGAGGTTCTTGGCGTTCTCCTCGGGCGAGACGCGCTGGGAGAGGTAGGTGTGGGTGGCGGCGAAGGACTTGGCAAAGTCAAGCTTGGACTGGACAATGTCGACCTGGACGATCTTGGTAGCACCGAAAGAGCTGGCGACGGCGGCGCAGAGGAGGCCGACGGGACCGGCACCCATAACGACGACGCTGTTGCCGGGCTGAACGCGGGCCTGCTTGACGATGTGCACCGCCACGGCGAGGGGCTCGATGAGGGCACCCTCCTGGAGCGAGACGTTGTCCGGGAGCTTATAGCAAAAGTCGTGGGGCGCGGCCCAGAAGCCGGTCAGGGTGCCGTCGTAAGGGGGGGTGGCCGCGAAGACCATCTCGTGGCAGAGGTTGTAGCGACCGCCGAGGCAGTCGGAGCAGCGACGGCAGGGGTAGCCGGGCTCGAGGGCAACACGGTCGCCCTTCTTGAGGTCTGTGACTCCGGAACCGACCTCAACGACGGTGCCGGCGGACTCGTGGCCGAGGACCATAGGGTCCTTCACGACGAAGTGGCCAATGGCGCCGTGGACCCAGTAGTGGACATCGGAACCGCAAATGCCCGTGTAGTTGATAGCGACGAGAACATCGTGGGGAGACTTGAGCTTGGGGACTGGGCGCTCTTCGAAGGAGACGTCATTGGGCTTGTTGAGGATGAACGAAAGGTTCTGTTTGGCATTGGTTAGCGTGCGCACTGGGGTAGCTGTTGAAGCTCTTTGAAAGCTATGACGGAACTTACGGAAGACATTGTGTCTATGGGAGGGCTGTGCAAGAAATGTACGACGGAGAGAGTAATAAAAGAGAGTCAACGAGATATCAGCGCTTGCTGGCAGTGCTGGATGGACAGGTAGTGAGCTCGTCGAGGAAAGGGATGACGAGAGAGAGGAAGACAAAAGGAAGACACCAGAGTACAGGAATATATACGAAAGCCAAGTAGAAACACCCCCCGACTCAGGAGCCAATCTTCACTCCCCAGGCAAGAAAAGGAAACCCGCTTCTCGGAGATATCCCAGAGGCCAGAACCTACCAGGAGGACCGCAGCGCAGGGGAGCTTGGAATGGATTGGATGTGTGGATGATGGATGAACTGGATGGAGGGGGGGGCGAGTGCGGGGAGCTTCTCCTCCAGTGAGCTCCTCCATGCGAGTGTACCTGACCGGTGACCACCAGTGTGACAATCTCAATGGCCTGGAAGATTGGGCTCGATGCCATGCTGGGGAGAAAAACCCCCACCGGATGGCGGGCATTACGCCATGGGTTCCATGAATTTACACGGCGCGTCTTGGTTTCTTTTCCTGGTGTTGCAGGCAAAGGAACGAGCTCTGGGAGAGCTTGAACCACAGGACCCCACCATCAACGAACCCCACGAAATGCTCGACATTTAACCAGGCATTTTACCCGCTCCAATCAGAACCGGAGCGCATTTCCGGTGGTATCCGCTCCTGCGAGGGGGATATCATCTTTTCACGCCTTCTGGTGCCTGATGCAGCGCTGTCAAACCTAGACCAGGTGTCAGCTGAGAGTCAGAGACTTCTCAGGATAAAACAGAAACGACGGACAGTGGTTAATGTCGGCTGAAGTTGTTCTGTTGGATTGCCGCAGGGTTGGACTCGGTCGCCCGAGCGACTGGGTGGACTGGGATGAGAAAGCACCATGAGGGCATTGTGGGCTGATCGAGTACCTCAGAGCCTGGTTCGTGGGAGGGCAGAGGATTTGATACCTATGCCGCTGCAACGGAATCTCAGATGCAAGTGCGGCTCGAGGGTGGTGTGCGGTCGCTTGCGCGTGATCGAGATGCATTCGCTACTGCACCGCTGTCTTTGACATATCTGTTATACCGCTGAGCGCGGCAGTTGGAGCTGCGATCTCGGAATGATATCAGTTCTACTATGCGTAAACTGCTCGGGCGAGATCGATATTAGAGATAAAAAGTCTAGATAGTCAATCTGAGAGCCCAGTAATTTGCTCTCTCCCGCTTGAAGTTGATCAACTTGTATAAAGGTACTCGCACATCAGAAAGCTTGGCCCAAAAGTTACAAAAACAGAACTTGCTTGTTGTGTGCAAGCAAAAGTAAAAGAATGATGAGAGTGGGATTCGAACCCACGCCCCTTTCGAGACCAGGAAATACTTTGCAGTAGAGAAATTCAGGTGGACCTGAACCTGGCGCCTTAGACCGCTCGGCCATCTCACCGTTTAACTTGTAATTCGTTGCTAAATCTATTCCTAAGTTGGTACAAACCACTCTACATCCACATGCATCCTGAAAAGGGGGCCCCTTTTCACTATGTCTTGGCGCAATCCCATGACCACACACACGAAGTGTCGAAAGATATCGATACTTCAGCTAAGTCGTTGCATAACAATCGTTTAAATCACAGTTTTCGGATGTTGAAATGGCCTATTGTCTTGCTTTCAAGGCCGAGCACCTATCATCTAAGGCATGCCGGAGAATGTGAGATCGTCCATTTTTTGCCCCCTTCCCTGTAAAAGTCCCAGCAAATAGAAAAGCAACAAAGTCTAGACCATGCCCAAATACCTCGTCGAAATCTTGGTCTCCTTCGTCGCCCCCTTGACAGCAATCGAAACCACCTCCCCAGGAACAATATCCACCAAATTATCATCAAACCTGACCGCATCATCCTCGCACTCCAGCGCCACACCCTTGACAGGGACCTCGGCGCTGATCTCCACAGCCGTGGCATCGGCGTTGAGCACCGCCTTGAGCTCCTTTGGCTTCTGGAGGTGGACATACTTGAGCGGCTCCGGCCAGTTGACATACCGCGCAATCTGCTTGCCATCTTGCACGATATACGCCGCCACGACAATCTTGTTCTCCTCGCCCTTGCCCTTCTCCTTGACTGGAACCTCCAACGCACCCACTTCGGTCGACCTGTTCTCTGGCAGGACAAACCCCTCGGCAATCTTCTTCTCTAATGTCAGCTCCCCAGTCGTGACGTCCCAAGCCTTGAGCACCACATCCACCGTCAGATCCTCGAGGGTGAGGTTGCTCCCCCAAACTTCAATCTTGGTCTCGGTGTCGATATACACCCTCGTGTACTTGTCCTTAGGGTGCTTGTGCACCTTTCGCGTGATACCCGCCGAAACAGGCGCCATCTCTCTCTTCACCGTGTAAAAGGCGTGCTTTGGCCTGAGGTAAAAGTCCACAATCGACCAACTCGTCACCGGCCAGCAGTCGTTGATCTGCCACACCAAGGCACCCGCGTTGTACTCCCTCCCCGGGCCCTTCCACTGCCTCTTCCAGAGTCTGTACGCGCTGGCAAGGCACTCTGCCTGCATCAGCTGGGTAGAGTAGACAAACTGCTCCAACGGGTCGGGGGCATATCTCATGTTTTCCACCAGATACAGCGCGATCCTCCTCTCGTGGCCGTCGGCCTTGTTGTGAAAGTCAACCGTGGAAGATTGGGGGTACCGGTCGGGGTCGTCTTTGCCGAGGGGGAGATAGGCGTCAATGGTCTTGACGTCTGGGAAAGCCTGCATGCCAAACTCGCTGACGAATCTTCCAGAGAGCTTGTCAAAGTCCTGCCACTTCTCCTGGGTGCCGTGCCAGACGTTCCACTGGTGAATGTCGCCCACTGTCGCATCATGAGTGTCCCTTCCGGCCCCCCACGGACTGCCAGGGTGATAGAAAGTGCTCGGGACCAGTTCCGCGCAGGCATCGCTCAGAATTTTCTCGTAGATGTATCTCGCCGGGAAGTCAGTTTGCAGCCAGGACTCGGCATCCTTGTTCTCAAAGTCATAGGTCAACCCAGCAGACTCTTGGTATTGGTAATCCTCGTTGTTGCCCGCCCAGATGACGATAGACGGGTGGTGTCTGAGAAGCTTGACATTCTCACGAGCCTCCCGGTCGATGGATTTTCTCAGCTCAGGCCAGGCAGGGTAGTTGCCGCATCCAAACATGAAGTCTTGCCACACGAGAACACCGAGCTCATCGCAAGCGTCGTAGAAGGCTTGCTCTTCATAAATACCACCACCCCAGACGCGGACCATGAACTGATTGCCATCACGGATGAGAGAAATCCATTCGTAATATTTCTGAGCTGTGATACGGGGGATGAAATTGTCGGCAGGAATCCAGTCCGAGCCACCGCAGTAGATGGGGATGTTGTTGACACGGAAGAAGAAGGAAGTGCCGGGCTGATCAAGTAGCGGTTTCTGGACAAGCTCGGCGCGGCGAAGGCCAATCCGTTTGCTGATGTTGGCAATTTCATCATCAGCACTCAGGAGAGTGGCCGTGAGTGTGTACAGGGGCTGCTCGCCGTAACGGAAGGGGTACCAAAGTGAAGGATTGTCGAGATGGAAAGATGCGGTGACGCTGCCGGAGCTATCGGCATCTGCTGTTTGGGAAGCCACTTGTTCACCGTCGAGCGAGAGCTGAAATTTGACCTTCCCACCTGATCCTTCAACTTCAGCTGTGGCCTTGATGTCGGCTGACTTGAGGTCCTCGGAGATGGTGCTGTCGAAACTGAGGTCTGCAAGTCTCGTCTCGTAGATTTCGAGGTTGATTGGTCGCCAAGGTCCGCAGGTAAGGAGAGCCGGGCCCCAATCCCACCCCTATCCCTTGTTGTTAGCAAAGTAGTTCTTGACAGCCCGTGCAAGCCCGTGCAAGAGAGATCCTACCCAGTGATATTGCGCCTTCCTCACAGCCAGTCTCGAATTGTCACCATTCCACACGCCCCACTTATGCTCGGGATACTTCTCAACCAGTTTCCAACCCCTGAGATAGGCACTGTCGAAGCTGATGACAAGCTCGTTCTCTTCCTTCAACAATTTTGTCACCTCCACCCTCTCAGGAGTAAACATATTATCCGTCTCCAAAATCGTGGTCCCGTTCAGCACAACAGTCGCAAAGGTGTCCAAACCGTCAAAGGCCAACACAGCCTTGGCACCCTCTGGGACAGACTGTCCCTTGAAGGTGGTCTTGTAGACCCATTGCGCCTCGCCCACCCACTGTACATCGAGCTCGTTCTTGCCAATGAAAGGGTCGGGGATGATCTTGTGGTGAAGAAGGTCCAGGTGGACGTTGGTAGGAAATTGTGAGACGGGGAGAAACTCGGCGTCTTCCTTGTCGAGCTGCTTGAACTCCCAGTTCTTGTCGACGGGGATCACAACAACGGCGGCGGGAGACATGGTGAACTCGTGTCGTATGGTGGGGTTGATGGTGGTGAGGGGCAGTGAGGGGAACGACAGTGGGGTAGAGGTGGTGGAAGGAGGGACAGCCTGATGATGCCTCTCACAGAGAGACACGTGCAGTTGTTGTTGCTGCTGCTGCCGACAAGAGAGTGTGTGTATGTCTTGAAGATGTCCAGAGCAAGAGCCGTCTTATAGATCTTTGAACTTTCCTCTCATGGCCTGGAATTCGAGCTGCCGCTCACCGTGTTGAAGACCGCGGGGGAAGGCACCCCGAGGCAACGAATAACGTTGCGAATGAAGAAGGAGCTGCCCCTGGCATCACCCCACACGCCAGGGGCTGCAGGTCATCCATACTGGCCGCCATCCCGGGTTGGGGTCTGCAGATGGAGCTTGTCTTCTCCAATTGTGGTGCTCTTATTGGAGTATCTAAGTCAAATATCGTGGGATTTGATAGGCGATTGTTTGCGGCACCAACTCATCATGAAAGCTGCCAGTGATGCGCCTGGAACCTGAGTAAGACTATGAAATCTCCATTTCACTCTTCAAAATTGAAAACTTTTCACTCCTCCTCCCTTCGTGTCAGAAAACACTGCCGAGTCAGAGGATCAAAGCTCCTGCTGATGATAGTGCGGAAGTTCCTTGGGCGCCCGGAGGGAGACTGTCCGCTTCCGTTTTAGGCTAAACTCCAACCTCACCTCACCAGCTAGTAGACCGCGATGGCCGAAGTATAGCCAGCCAGCACATCAGATAGGAGCGCATATGAAGCTTTGGTTCGCTGTGAGAGTCTGCAGCGACGGACTTCGTCGGTCCAGCCTTGTGCATATCAGACGCTTCTGCCATTTATGTCACATGCATCGGCAACGGGATGATGCAACTGCTTATCACGGATTCCAGGTGAGAGACCCTGGAGTCATCCCGCTGTTGCATCAAGACGAAGGTCAAAAGTAAGAAGAAATAACTCATATAGGCTATGCAATACCAAAAATCGAAAATAAAAGACAAAGTGTTTCTAAAGAGACAAACCCGCACCGCTCCTCTTCCAACTCCATGCAACATGATAAGCGTCGTGCAGAGTAAACATGCCATAAAATCCATACACATCGTCAGTCCATTACCAGGTATTAGCGCCGCATGGTATCATTAGGTCCTCGTCTTTCGACTCCTGTCATCAACAACATCCCCTGTTTCTTCTCCTCCCCGTCAGCGTAAACACTTCCTCCCATTCTCTCAGCCCGCCCTGCCCCATCCGTTTTGGCTTCCCCCTTCTCCTTCTTCCACCGATGCCCACATCATCAGCTGTCAAGGTACTCTTGATGCTCCCGCCATCACTCGCGCCAGCGTTCCAAAGCGCACCAGCATCGCCATACTGAATCCCACTCATCGGGTCGTCAGGATCAATCTCTCCCAACTCGATCTTGGTCAAAATCATCCTCGCCAACCTTCCAAAAACCTCATCCACACCCTCCCCACTCAGTGCCGAAACCTCCATTGTCACCGGAATGTTCACCGCGTTCGCCCACCTCGACGCCTCAACCGCGCTAACCTCCCTCCCATCCGGCGCAATCGTCGCCTTCAGCTGTGACCCCAGCCCCGGGTGAATAGTCGACATACTAGAATACGAACTCGGCACCATGGGCGTCTGCTGCCCTCGTCCTCCCTGTTCTGTCCGATCCGTCATCGTCGTCGTTGTCGTCTGAAAGGAAGTCACACTGCTACTGGCAATACTGCTCGGCGTCGGCAGCCCCCCACCTCTGCCACCCCCACCCCCCAACCTGTTATCCCTCCCCCAGTCATCATTATCCTCATAATCCGAGTACGCCCCGGCCTGGCTAGCCGCCAAATCGACTTTATTCCCCACCAACAGCAAACTCAGGTTCGGGCTCGCCAGCGCCCTCGCATCGTTCAAAAATGGCTGCAGGCTGTTGAAGCTCGCGTGGCTGGTGACATCATACACCAGTATCGCACCCGCCGCGCCCCGGTAATACGACCTCGACACCGACCTGAATCTTTCCGTGCCTGCGGTGTCCCATAGCTGGAGCT